TTAATTTAAACACAAACACGATTGTAGATTCCGAACACAGCTCATTTGCCTCACGTCATCAACTGCTCCAGTGCTAAAAATTACATTTGATGACGTCAAAACAAGTGAATGCAGTCAAGCTTATATTAGGACATATTTTAACAAGAAAACTAAAAATATAGTTAACAATTAACTATACTTCTGCGATCGCATGCAAGCAAATAGACTCTTAGCTGTAGTAGAGGACATCTCTATTCTGACAACTCTGTAGTGGGAGTCAGCAGGCAACAAAGTACGGTGCCGCATTTCATCACATGTAGAAAGTCAAGTTGTGAAACTAGCAGAAGCAGAAATAGCCGACAACAGTTGCCTATCAACACCTCAAGCAGGACTTCAATAAATCGTGTGCCAATACAACGTGTTTCTTGTCTTACTGAGTTTATGTCTTGTGTCTCTTGTCTTGTGCCATCACACATGAGGGTCCTCTAGTCTTTTGGGATGACGCAGGAGGGTCAACTGGGGCAAGAGGCTTTGAGGCTGAACAAACGCTTGTGGGGAGGAGGAGGGAGAGGAGGAGGGGAAAATTGTCCTGACACGGCTACCTCAAAGAGTCATCATTATCATACTCATCATCAGTCAGCGAGTCCTTGAAAGAACATGGTTGTCTACCTTTCTCTAACCAGACACTAGGCTCTCTTTCATGTCATAGCCAATGTAACTTTAATGGCATCTATCTACTTCGCTAAGAGGGCGACCTCTGCTTCGTTTTATGGAAGGTGCCTCTAAAGTCTATCTATCTCTCTTCTTCTACCCCACCGGGACATCACACAAGCAATAAACACGCGATGACAAAGTGCCACCATGTGGATGAGGATCACCCGTGGAGAGGTCCTAGAAACCGCATTCAGCCATTAGACCATATTTATGGTTAGTCTATATTGCGGCCCCTGACAAGAGCCAGAGTGTGACTTGCAATAACTAAACATTGCATCCCACAAAGAGATGACTAAATTAAACCTCATAGCTGTAAAAATGACACCCATCAACCGAAGGACGCGGTTTGTGAAATGAGTCCGGACAGATCCTCTGAGGCCCGCCTGTAGCTGATTGCCTTTACACCGATAAGGCGGCTTTCCTTTTCGTATCCACTTTACACATTTACTGGACAGTAAGTAGTTTGGGCGATCTATACCTTATCCTTTCTCAGTTTATACATTGAAGTAAGCCACAACACTGTGTGCGCACATCTCATTAAACACATTATAGCCTAAGGATTGAGAAAAATAACAAAGGCAGTGATACACAACAGGGCATGTACCACCAGCAGTTTCAGAATGAGATTTGCATTTCAGTTAGTAAGCTTAAAAATAAACATCACATAACCCCGGGCATACCCGTAGGTGCTTCGTCACCCGCAACAGTCGTTTTTAATGTGTGTGTGTGCACTGTTCCTGTAGCACACTGTTCCTGGAGCACACTGTTCCTGTAGCACACTGTTCCTGTAGCACACTGTTCCTGGAGCACACTGTTCCTGGAGCACACTGTTCCTGTAGCACACTGTTCCTGTAGCACACTGTTCCTGTAGCACACTGTTCCTGGAGCACACTGTTCCTGGAGCACACTGTTCCTGTAGCACACTGTTCCTGTAGCACACTGTTCCTGTAGCACACTGTTCCTGGAGCACACTGTTCCTGTAGCACACTGTTCCTGTAGCACACTGTTCCTGTAGCACACTGTTCCTGGAGCACACTGTTCCTGTAGCACACTGTTCCTGGAGCACTCTGCTCCTGTAGCACACTGTTCCTGGAGCACACTGTTCCTGTAGCACACTGTTCCTGTAGCACACTGTTCCTGTAGAACACTGTTCCTGTAGCACACTGTTCCTGTAGCACACTGTTCCTGGAGCACACTGTTCCTGTAGCACACTGTTCCTGTAGCACACTGTTCCTGTAGCACACTGTTCCTGGAGCACACTGTTCCTGTAGCACACTGTTCCTGTAGCACTCTGCTCCTGTAGCACTCTGCTCCTGGAGCACACTGTTCCTGTAGCACACTGTTCCTGTAGCACACTGTTCCTGTAGCACACTGTTCCTGGAGCACTCTGCTCCTGGAGCACACTGTTCCTGTAGCACTCTGCTCCTGTAGCACTCTGCTCCTGTAGCACTCTGCTCCTGTAGCACTCTGCTCCTGGAGCACACTGTTCCTGCAGCACACTGTTCCTGTAGAACACTGTTCCTGTAGCACACTGTTCCTGGAGCACACTGTTCCTGTAGCACACTGTTCCTGTAGCACACTGTTCCTGTAGCACACTGTTCCTGGAGCACACTGTTCCTGTAGCACACTGTTCCTGTAGCACTCTGCTCCTGTAGCACACTGTTCCTGGAGCACACTGTTCCTGTAGCACACTGTTCCTGTAGCACACTGTTCCTGTAGCACACTGTTCCTGTAGCACACTGTTCCTGTAGAACACTGTTCCTGTAGCACACTGTTCCTGTAGCACACTGTTCCTGGAGCACACTGTTCCTGTAGCACACTGTTCCTGTAGCACTCTGCTCCTGTAGCACACTGTTCCTGTAGCACACTGTTCCTGTAGCACTCTGCTCCTGTAGCACACTGTTCCTGGAGCACACTGTTCCTGGAGCACACTGCTCCTGTAGCACACTGTTCCTGTAGCACACTGTTCCTGTAGAACACTGTTCCTGTAGCACACTGTTCCTGTAGCACACTGTTCCTGGAGCACACTGTTCCTGTAGCACACTGTTCCTGTAGCACACTGTTCCTGTAGCACACTGTTCCTGGAGCACACTGTTCCTGTAGCACACTGTTCCTGTAGCACTCTGCTCCTGTAGCACACTGTTCCTGGAGCACACTGTTCCTGTAGCACACTGTTCCTGTAGCACACTGTTCCTGTAGAACACTGTTCCTGTAGCACACTGTTCCTGTAGCACACTGTTCCTGTAGCACACTGTTCCTGGAGCACACTGTTCCTGTAGCACACTGTTCCTGTAGCACTCTGCTCCTGTAGCACACTGTTCCCGTAGCACTCTGTTCCTGTAGCACTCTGCTCCTGTAGCACTCTACTCCTGTCTGTCCACTGTGACATGGTCTATCATGTCTGTCCACTGTGACATGGTCTATCATGTCTGTCCACTGTGACATGGTTCATCATGTCTGTCCACTGTGACATGGTCTATCATGTCTGTCCACTGTGACATGGTATATCATGTCTGCCCACTGTGGCATGGTCAATCATGACTGTCCACTGTTACATGGTCTATCATGTCTGACAGACATGATGAAACATGTCACAGTGGACAGACATGATAGACCATGTCACAGTGGACAGACATGATGAAACATGTCACAGTGGACAGACATGATAGACTATGTCACAGTGGACAGACATGATGAAACATGTCACAGTGGACAGACATGATAAACCATGTAACAGTGGACAGTCATGATTGACCATGTCACAGTGGGCAGACATGATAGACCATGTCACAGTGGACAGACATGATAGACCATGTCACAGTGGGCAGACATGATAGACCATGTCACAGTGGACAGACATGATGAACCATGTCACAGTGGACAGACATGATAGACCATGTCACAGTGGACAGACATGATAAAACATGTCACTGTGGACAGACATGATAGACCATGTCACAGTGGACAGACATGATGAAACATGTCACAGTGGACAGACATGATGAACCATGTAACAGTGGACAGTCATGATTGACCATGTCACAGTGGGCAGACATGATAGACCATGTCACAGTGGACAGACATGATAGACCATGTCACAGTGGACAGACATGATGAACCATGTCACAGTGGACAGACATGATAGACCATGTCACAGTGGACAGACATGATGAAACATGTCACAGTGGACAGACATGATAGACCATGTCACAGTGGACAGACATGATGAAACATGTCACAGTGGACAGACATGATAGACCATGTCACAGTGGACAGACATGATAAACCATGTCACAGTGGGCAGACATGATCGACCATGTCACAGTGGACAGACATGATAGACCATGTCACAGTGGGCAGACATTACGACCCATATGGATCTGATGGCTGGGGACAAATATGACAAGTCTACAGGAGCAGTAGGATTTAGACTGATCGCCCACACTGGGCGACAAGGCATCTGATGATGATGATTTTGTGGACAGATTATTTCGGTCTATATGAATGTTAGATACAATCTCAAACACTAAACTACTTCAATCAAGAATCTTTAGACAGTATGATAGAAAAGAGAAGATGGCTTGGCCACGTTATGACAATGAATCCTGATTTACCTGCTAAAACAGCTCTCACATGGACACCAGAGGGAAAGACGAAACAGGGGCGCCGAAAAAACAACATGGGGACGAACGATGAAAGTGACCTAAGTGCGGCATCTTTGACATTGAAAACTGCACTGAAGATTGCACAGGACAGGAAAGCATGGATAGTCCTCTCTGAAGCCTCATGTGCCACTAGGCATAACAAGAACTGATGATGATGACATGAATGTTAAGGCTGGGAACATACACACTTAGCGAAGGGAAACAAAAGGATGTCAGAGAAGCAGTTACTGTGAGCACACAATAGCACCGGACCAAACAAACATCGCGCCAAAAAAGTGACGTTACTGGGGCTCAGCAACACTCAAACGGACGATGTCTGCAGACTTCACACAGGATCCCTGACCCTGAAGTTGCATGGACAAGATACCATCATGATCATCTACCTCTAATTTAAAACATTTGCTGTAACCTTACATAAATTGGCTTGCTTGTGGGTAAGTGCTGCATCGTACACAACTTTCTTCTAAAATCAAGATGTCCTCTCAAAAATCAACTGCGGTCACTTACAACTGGCAGACAAACTTTTCCACGTTCAAATGTTCACGCCCGTTGTGGTCACACAACTGGAATCACAACAACAAATATTCAAGTTTATCGCAGTCCTGGGTACGAGAGCAAAGCCTTAGAGAGTCTCACGTGTCA